GCAGCCCTCTCATGTCTCCTCTGAGAAATCCCATTGACACATTATCAGAACGTCACTTGGATGTTCACCAGAATGTGAGAACGTCTGCTTTTCAATGACATTACACTGGATTTACATCTTATCTTATTGAATAATTCATAATCCGAGAGCTCATGAATCATATATAGATTATCTAGTGCATATTTTATTACAGCGGTGCCTTAATTGAGTTGCAGAGAATAAAGCGGTGATTAATCCTCAGGAGTGTGTTAATTTATTCAGCAGCTGTATTAGACCAAGGCTGCGTTCACAAAGAAATTTCTTTTCCATTATAAACCAACAGAGTTAATCCATAATAATGGGTCTTTTATATGGGATTGTGGGGTTTTATACAGCGTGAACATCTTCTTACAAATGTAATTTAAAGTATTTATGTCTCGTCATTTAGTTTTGTGTTCATGTCTCCCATAAATTTATTAAGAAATTCTTGCTTCATCATTCTGAGGTACAGCGTAAAACTATTTTTGTGAGGTAACTATATTAAATATATTAAATATATCAGTATATTTGGTTAGTTTTTTGCAAAATGAAAAATAAAACAAAACAAAAAACAACCCACTCTGTTTTTTTGGGGTTTTTTGCCATTACTTGTTCTACACTCATCTTACACCTGCACCCTCCACCTCCCCCATCCCTTCATTACATTTCTGATTTAAAGGACATGGACCATTTTTTTCCGCCTCTCTTCCCTTTTTGATGTTGTCACTCCCAATCTTTTGCCGTCCTGACACAAATTAAAGACCTGTCTCTCACTGGCAGCTCATTTCACTGGCAGGTGGCAAACAATTAGACACAGCAGATAGAGATCGGAGCGTGGAGGTGGAGCGGCAGGGAGACATGAAAAGCATGTGACAAAGTTGTATGTGTGCTCGTGAGGGTCTGTGTGAAAGCATTTCAAAAATAATACAGCGGTGGTGGTGAACCATTTTCCGTACGCCAGCTTCTATTAGAGCTGTGGGCTTTGAGGACAGACGTGAAGGTGGTGCTGTGAGGCTGCTCTCCACATACTCCTCCATCTTACACTCTACACTGTGGATCCTGCTCTGCCAAACAAAACTGGATATATATATATATAAACATATATATATGTATGAGACTTTGTGATAATCAAGTAATTTGATATCAAAAACAGTCAAAACTTGGTCAACAATCAGCAAATAATTTCCTTATTAAGAAACCTAAAGTTGTGATTTGCCCTAGGAACAAATGTTTAACGTTACTTAATAAAAACATAATTTTATAAAAAAGTTTATTGTTTTTTAATGTGACATAAATGAGCAAATATAGCCTTGAATCTACAAAACAATTGTTGGAAATTATCTAAACTTTATCTAGTATACTGGCACCAGCTGAACAGCGCCACTGCCAATTGATGATAAATGTTGTTAATGTAATATATACGTAATATATATACATTTATATCATGTATATATATATGATATAAAAAGAGCACATTCATTTAAATTTAAGTTTTGGTTATTGGTATTACATCTTAAAAGGGCCACAGGGGGGGCCACAGGTAGGAATTTGAGGGGAAAATCTTCAGCTGCTAGCCCCTGCGGTAGGAATTTGAGGGAAAATCTTCAGCTGCTAGCCCCTGCTGGTCAATGGCGGTATGACAGACATCAATTAATTTCCTGTGTTTGTAGACACAGGTAGTGTGTAATTAAAAAGGAGCTGATGTTTGAAATCCCTGCAGAGACAGATGTGTAAAAAGAAAGATTACCACG